GGATCTGTTTTATGTTCTCCAACTTCGCAAAAATTACAGTGTAAGCATTCAGCTGCTCATCAACAAGCAGTTCGATTTGCTCGTGATAATGCGTTGTGGGTAAAAGAGTTTACCAAAGTATTTAACCGGATGATTGAGATGAATAAATACGTCTTACAGAAAGCTCCAACAAAGTAATAAATTATATACATTTATGGCTCTTTGAAAAGTGGGGATAATTTGAAAAAATTGGAACATAAATTTTATTGGTTTATTTTTAATTTTGTGAACTTTTTAAAACGTATTTTTATTATAGAATAGAATTGTTATTTTATTACATTGAGTTTTGACCTTATCGAAATTTTTCTAATAATTATTAAAGACAATTAATTATTAAAGTCAACTTTGTTATTAAAGAAATTTTATTAAGAAATAAATTATTAACAAATTTTATTAACAAATTAATTATTAAAGTCAAATTTGACTTAATTTCTCTATCGCAATATGATATTTAAATGTTAAGTTTATATTTTTAAATGTATAACTAACATTAGGTGGTTTTGAGATAATGTTATTAGCAAGAAAAAGTCTGAGCTACACTTTTCAATTTGACTACTAACTTGTTACCTTTTGCTGTTGTGCTTAATACTTTTAAAATTTACGTTTTTTACGCTTTTAGAAATAAATAGTTGCTTATTTTTATTTCTAAATTAAGAACCTAAGTTATAAAGAGATTTAAAAAACGTAATATTTTGGCTTTTAAATGAAAATTAATTGTATTTAAATCTAAATTATTATCAAAATTTTTTATCAAAATATTTTCAAAAACTGTTAGTAAACAATTTTAATAGTTTCAAATGATATCAACTTAGGTGTAATATGGTTGGAGTAATAATGTCAAACATATATATCTTTGACAATATTATTCTAGCCATACTACACCGAAGGTGCTTACCACTTTAAGGAATTTCAATACCTTTACCGCGATTTAGCGTCTTTATTTATTAAAACAATGTGGTCAACTAATCAATATTTATTTATTTTAGATTTTAGTATTTTAGAAACAAATAGCATGTGTAGCAACGTTTTTAGCATTCCTCAAATACTTTGCCTAACTGTATACAATTGATTTAGCCGTTTTTAATGAGCAAAGTATAAGATTATGGTTTTTTTAACAAATTAATCAAATGCATTAAACCTCTAACAAGGTAACTAGAGTAAGAATAAACGAAGTTTTAAAGCCAAAATATTTTAAATAATTTGACTTCAACTCTCGAGAGTAAAATTAAATTTTTTTAAACTATAAATATAGTCTCGTATAGTAATAAAACTTAATTTAGCTTAGCCGATCAGTGATTTAACGAATCACTTTCAGATTTTGTTGCCATAGTTTGAAAGTGGTATTGATGTTACTTTTTAGGTGTTGGTAAATCGATGGAGTTTGATGCTAACTCCTACATAATGTTGGAGTTAGCATCAAACTCCGTTGATCAAACTCCATCGAGGAGCAAACGTTCAAACCGTGCTTTCTCTTTCAGATGAGAATTTACAGGAAACGCAAAAAACTGATAAAAATTTAAAGAACTGTCATGAATCAAAGTTATAGTTTTCTATTGTTCTTAATAGCTCTGAGGAGTATTCTGATACATTATTTTAGATATTTGTTTGAAAACAAATGAAAAAAATGCATTTATTTTTTGGAGAAAACACATTTTGACAGAATACTAAGGAGAAAACATGTTTTGATTGAGTCTCACAAGGATAAAACACTTTTTGAATGATTTAAGTAATACAACAAACGAATAATACAAAGTCAATGGGCTTTATTGGTGCAATTCAAGAATTTGAAAAATTTTGAAATAACGCAACACACAAATTAAGAAATTAAAAAATATGGTAACATAAAACACAATACTAATACATACTCAACAATTTAAATTTTCATTCCATTATCTTCATCCAAACAGTCACACACTTCATCTTCCTCTTCATTCCCGTCTTGTTCATCGAATAATATTTTCCTGTACCATTCAAAATCAGGCTCACTCTGCCATCCATCGCCATATAATAGTTTCAAGAGTTTCTCAACATCTTTTTTCTTGTCGGCTGAAATGGGACGATTTAGTGGAAGAGATTCTAAAGTTATATTTCTGACATTTGAAACTTTTATTCCTCTTTTCAGGAGTCCTTCTCCAGCTTGCTCACTTCCATCTTCAAATCTATAGTTTCTGAAGCCCTTGACCTTGACAGCTCCTGTTCCTGGGTGTTTCTTGAGAAAGATCCTTTTTAATTCTGATATGTATGAAAGATTTTTGAAGAACCTGTTGAGTGATTTGGTATTTAGAAGTTTCCAATCAACACCCATAACTTTTACAGCTCCAATGTTCTTGTAAATTTCATAATATTGTTCTTTAGATATTATTGTTACACTTTTCCTAAGGATTTTCTCAACCCTACCAAACACAGGATCTGCTGGCAGAAAACTATGGCCTCTGACCGGAAAGTAGAGTCGAATTTATTGAGTGTCAGCATTATTTGAAGAGTAGAGAAATTGCAAAAGCATTTGAAGGTTGATATTGTTCTTGTTTTGGGCAACACATCCGTCACAAAAAAGTCGTAAAGTCTTGATTCCTTTAAGATTCATTGTTCTTAGGTGAGAATGTAGAGCTGAGGAAATTTCGGTACTGCCTTTTCCTGCCTGCTCTTCAGACCATGTATAAAATGTTGGGGTTTTGCCATCCAAACTAGTAATACATAAACTATAAAAATTCAACTGCCTCAGATAATATGCATCTTGAATGTTTGTTTTTGGCAATTGTTGTATTTGCTGTAGATCAAAACACAAACTGCACACAGATTCATCGGTTTTTTCTTTCATGTACGCATAAAATGCATTTGCCCTAAGTTTATGAATCCTTTTCTGAGTCATAAGGTTTACACGTTCCATGGATCCTGATAGCAATGTTTTAATTTTCTGGTCTAGAAGGGCGCACGTGCTACAAACATCACTTGATGGCGATTTGAAGCCAATGTTAAATTTATTAACAAACAGTCTCCTGAACATGGCAAAACTCACTCTGTACAAATCATCCTTTATTTGGTCACAATAAATTTGGTGCAGCTTTCTTATATTCAATTTACAGTTCAAATACAAACGTCTACACCTTTTCAAGATGTAATTGAGAAAACAAAAGTTGTAATTAAGAAACGTAAGATGTAATTGAGAAAACGTAAGTTGTAATTAAGAAACATAAGATGTAATTTAGAAAACGAAAATTGTAATTAAGAATCGTAACATGTAATTAAGAAAATGTAAGTTGTAATTAAGAAATAGAAAGATGTAATTGAGAACACGAAAATTTTAATTCAGATATCGCTTTAAAAGAGTAAGTGTAAAATGGCGCTTAAAAAAAATGGCGCGTAAAAAAATGGAGCGTATAAAATGACGCACTTAAAAATGACGCAAGATTTGTAATTTTTTAGGGAAAAATTTAGGGAAAAATTTATAATTTTTGAGCAAATGAATTTAACATAATAAACACTAGAAACATTTTAGGGAAAAATTTATAATTCAATTAAAAATTATAATTAAAAATTATATAATTAAAAATCACTTCATTGATCATTTAAGCACCAACTTGTACGTCTTCCATATTTAAAATAGTTGCATAGTGCGTGGTTGTGTGTTGTACCGCACGTGCACAATCTCCTCCCATTATAGTATTTTTCGCCTCAATTACAATTCTTTCTAAGTACTGCATGCGCTGTTCCGCAATCCCGTCACCTAATACAGGTGGAATGCGAATTCCACCTGTATTAGGTAATTTGACAATCATTTTAAATTTCCGCTGCGAACCCAATTGTATGCTGTCTTATATTTGATACCTAGCGTTTGCGCGAGATTCACCCAATCTTCAAATCGCTCTGCACATTCAACAACTCTTCTCCTGTCATTTGGAGAAGATAAAACGTAACGTTTCCTTTCAACTTGTTCAGTTGTGTGTATTTCATGCCGACAAATCGGACAACTTGAATCTGGTTGTTCCAGAACTGGACGTAAACAAATTTGGTGACATAAATGTTGACATGGATTTAGCTTAATCACAGACTTTCGGGTCATAGTGTATTGGCATATAACACAACGATCTTTCAATTCCATTATTATTACTTGTGCATACAAAAGCAAAATTTAAGATTATAACTTAAATTCATGTCCAAAAAGACCTTTTGTAACAACCTACAAACTTAGACTGTGAATTTGCTATTTTAATTTATGTGTTCTCAATTACAAGTTACGATTTCTCAATTACATATTATGATTTCTCAATTATATCTTACGTTTTCTCAATTACATGTTGTGTTTCTTAATTACATTTTACGACTTCTTATTTACATGTTGTGTTTCTCAATTACATATAACGTTTTCTCAATTACATGTTGTGTTTCTTAATTACATATTACGACTTCTTAATTACAACTTTCATGTTCTCATTTACATCTTGAAAAGGTGTAGATTTTTTTCTCCCATAGTGACTTTCTAATGCCTTCAAATTAGAAATGAAATCTCTCACTTTGTTCTTTTTATCAATGCTGTGGCTACTTTTCCTATCACCTCCTCTTCTATCCTCAATAGGATCTCCAGCATGGATTTTGGAAACAATGTTGGCCAATCTTGTCCTTCCTACTTTAGTAATGGCAATAAAATTATTCTTACAAACAGGAATTCTCGTTTTATTTCCAACAATGAAGTAGTTTGTAGAAAAGGCATGTTGAGAGCTTGACTTATGCGACTTGTTTAGGTTAGGGTTATTAGGCCTTCGTTGAATAACATTTTTTGTTTCATCTAGAGAACTAATTATTGAATCTTGACGAAGTTTGTCAGGAACTTTATAAAGTTTGTCCCTCAGTTTCTTTACATCGTAAGGTCTAATATCACAACATGAGAACTTCTTTGTTGAATGCTTGCACGGAATGTATACATTGGTTCCTGCAGGTGATGAATAATGCTTCTGTTTTTCTTCTTTTCTTCTTTTGCCAGTTGCCTGTCTTTTACGAGCTCCAGTGTTTCCAATACTTACTAAAATACCATCAACCACTTCATCCATTTGAAATCGAAAGATTGAAACTAATAAAATTGTAGAGCTATAGTATTAGTGAACTACCAACCATAACCTTACTTTCAGTACTGAACCACGTGTTAAAACAGCTTATGCCAACTAGTCATGTGATCAGAGAGGACCGCTCCCATTGGTCAGCTGGAGACAGCACTGTTTGACTGAACACCGACCTTGGAGAAAACACTCTATGATTGAACAGTTAGTTTTGCACGCTGTTTTTAAATAGGATAAAGCATGATTTGACTGAAAATAAGGCTTGAATCTGGTGCTATTTAACATGGACTACAAGAAACCATCAATAACTCAGTTTTTATTTTTTTTGGAGAAAACACGGTTTGAATGTTTGCTCCTCCATTTTGTTAACTCTGTTAAATAAAGTGTTCCGTACTTTCCATAAAAGGATCCAAAAAATTTATACATTTTTTTAACACTATTACCCCAGTGGGCACACGACGTTATTTCGACGTTGGTTTACAGTTGATTTTTAGTCGCGACGTCGTATAACCAAAAATCAACGTTGTATCATCGTTGAAAAATTTGTTTAAAACTATGAAATAAAATCGACGTTGATTCCACGTTAATTCAACGTCTATATTACGAGTTCGACCGTTCGTAATTGACCTTTTGCCAGATAAAGACGCCATTATAAAACGCATTGCATTCTGGGATCGCCTGGGAGCAAACAAACTTGATAGATATATAATTCTATGCCAATATCCAGCGATTATTGCATTAGCCTAGATTATTATTCTTATTTATTGGTTTTAATATGGTTTTTACTTCAGTAGATTTGTCAAAGTGGAAAATAGATGAGTTAAAAACGTATTTATTATCAAGAGGTGTCCCACTTGGTTCAGGAAGTGCACGAAAAGCACTTTTGATAGAAAAAGTTATCATGGCAGAAGCTTTAAACCTACCATTGTTACTTACCACTGATAACCGTATTAATGAAATAAATAACAGTCGAAGAAGGAAGTTAGTAGTTGACGATGTTTTACATCTTCCATTTCCTGAAGATTTAAAAAGTAACTGGCAAAGTGGAAGTCAATATCTTCCTAATGCGACTTTAGAAGTCATTAAAGAATATGCTACAAATAAGAGTGCAATGAAGGCATTTAGAGAAGGAAAAAACTTGCAATATTCTGGGCATGTTAAAGATGTCGCCTTTAATAACATTGTTGACAGTATTCGGTATTGTTACGTTAGAGCTACTGTTGTTCCTCAGACAAGAATAAACGAAAATCCATATTTAGTTTGGGTATGTTTTTATGGTTCAGAATATGTTTTTACTGCTGAGTGTTCGTGTATTGCAGGTTTCAGTTCATCTTGTAAGCATGTCTTTAGTTTATTGCATTATATTGAGAATGAAGTCAGGTTAGGCCATAATAAAACATGTACTGGCAAAAAACAACAATGGGATGTACGAGTTGAAAAGCGCCAAAAAATACATGAACCATGTAAAATAAATTCAGTTATTTTTAGGCGACCACATCCTGAAAATGATGATGTTGAACCTGGTCCAAGTAGAAACTTATATGAACCTCGATCACGAACAGACATTAATGTCACATATTCAACTGAAGACTGGGAGAATATTGCTAAAGCTACCAACGGTAATGCAAGTGTTTTGCAGTTTAAAAAAACAAGTTTTTATAAGTTAGATATTGATTTTACTATTGCTACAGAATATCCTAAAACAATTGATGAAATAGTTTGTATAACCGATATGAATTTGTTTCACTATAAATTAAAAACCTATCGAACAAATTCTGATATAAAAAAAATTTGCAGTATAACAACAGACCAGTCATATTCTATTAATTGGTTTAAATATAGAAATGGTGTTATTACATCATCAGTATCCCATGAGGTAATTCAGAAAGTTAGTGATAGGCAAACAATTACAAACCCAACATCCTCTTTTAATTTATGTGCAAAGATTTGTGAACAAATTGAAACTATTTCCAGTAGTGCGCTATCATGGGGACGAAGCAATGAAGAATTTGCTGTCAAACGTTATGTTAGAAAAAACAAAAATTTACATAAAAATTTTAGTTGTGACATAGCAGGCTTGACAATATGTTCTGAGTATCCATTTCTGGGTGCAAGTCCTGATAGAATTATAAATTGTACTTGTTGTGGATTTGGTTTGTTAGAATGCAAATGTCCTTTTTCAGCAAGAGATAAAACTATTTCAGAATACCTTTCAATGTCTTCTTGTTTTATAGTAAAAAGTAATGAAAGTTTTGCAATCAAACTTAATCACCCTTATTACACCCAAGTTCAGCACCAAATATTTGTTACAGGTGCCAATTATTGTGACTTTGAAATTTATTTACCCAAAGAATCTTGCACATTTCGTATTGCTAAAGATCCAAATTTCTTATTAAAGTGCCTACCAAAATTAGTTACATATTTTAACGATGTTATGCTTCCATATTTATATGACATAAATTTTGTGAGAACCACCTACACCTGCAGTAAAGTCATCCAAAGCCTTGTTTCACAAGTTGAAAAGGTAGAAAAGCAAAATACAGCAGCATTACAACTAAAACAATTATCAGATAATTACCAAATGCTGTCCAAAGACTCACCACCATCTTGTAAAAGAAAACTGTAGAAAACTATATAAAAATAATATATATATATATATATATATATATATATATATATATATATATATATATATATATATATATATATATATATATATATATATATATATATATAATAAAAATATAAATAAATAAAAAGAATAAAATAAAAAATAAAATAAAAATATGTAATATATATAAAATAAACAGAATAGAAAATAATATGTATGTATATTATATATATATATATATATATATATATATATATATATATATTTATATGTATATGTATATATATATATATATATATATATATATATATATATATATATATATATATATATATATATATATATATATATAAAATAATTAAATGAAAAAAATAAAATAAAAAGAATAAAATTAAAAATAAAATAAAAATATGTAATATATATAAAATAAACAGAATAGAAAATAATATGTATGTATGTATATATATATATATATATATATATATATATATATATATATATATATATATATATATATATATGTATATGTATATATATATATATATATATATATATATATATATATATATATATATATATATATATATATATATATATATATATATAAAATAATTAAATGAAAAAAATAAAATAAAAAGAATAAAATTAAAAATAAAATAAAAATATGTAATATATATAAAATAAACAGAATAGAAAATAATATGTATGTATATATATATATATATGTATATATATATATATATATATATATATATATATATATGTATATATATATATATATATACATATATATATATATATATATATATATATATATATATATATATATATATATATATATATATATATATATATATATAGTATATATATATATATATATATATATATATATATATATATATATATATATATAATGTTATTCTATTCTACAAATAGAGTGCTCAATGTTCTTAAAAAACAGCAATAATAAATTAGAAAAAAACACTTATCCACTTATCTAATATTTTTCTTTAACAAATTGTAAAAAAAATAGAAATAAATATATTTAAAAAACAAAATAAATAGTATAAAATAAAATGATTTAAAAAAAATAAAATTTAAACTAAATAAACAACTAATGATAAACAAAAATTATACATTTTCATGTTTGATTTTTTTAAATCTAATTCACTACCAACAACGATGTAAGCACCACTATTTCAGTGAAGAGTTTCAGAAAACAAAGAGAAAGCGGTTGAATGAAGACTGTGCGAAGAAAAAACTAGAGGAATAAAAGTTTTTAGAGCATGAAGAAATAGATACTGTAAAATTATCTGTTTACTGTACGGATACTGATGCTGCAATAACACTATTTCTATATTTAAACCAAGTGACTTTGCTGAATGAAAAATCACGCATAATTAAAAAAAGATTTGGTTCATGGAACAATAGTATTTTAAAAAAGAGAAAGAGATGCAATATTACAACCATGGGACACAGGGTCAAGCTTAGAAAGTAACAGGTCCAACTTTATTTATAATAAATTTTGTGGTTTAAAAGAATGGGCATCATTAGAAGAACTAGCCCAAATGTGACAACAGTATGTCATACATGGTTAATTAAGTTTGAACTAGCCCAAATGTGGCAACAGTATTCCATACAGGGACAATTAAATTTGTAGGAATCAGGAGTGAGAAAATGGTGAGCACATTTTAATGAATAACAACCTTAGCCGATGCTAACTTTGGAATTCTTTATAAGAATTCCAAAGTTAGTTTCCACAAGAGAAAAAGTTTCCACAAGAGGTGGTTGCAAAAAAGTAATCCAAGAAGGCGTAAAGTAGAAGACTCTATAGGAGTGTTACCATTTATCAATATAGGAATATCAACAACAGTGATAATTATTAGCAGCACACTATTATATAGTTTTTTATTTATTTTTAATGTCAATTTATATTTGTGATTGTTTAATAAATTAGAATTTTTTTACTTGGCATAATATCTTTATTATTTTTTTTTTTTAATACAAACTTTGACATTGTTAAACTTTTATATACCTAGACACTTTTATCACATGCAGGGATTAGGGAAACGTCAGGGATTTCAGATGTCTGCAAAAAAAAAAAAAAAAAAAAAGAACTATCAGGGAAATAGGGTTGAATTTAGGAAAAATCAAGGTAATCTCAGGGGAAATAGCTAAATAGATAAGACTGACGGATGTCTGGCCGGCTAGACATCTATCATTTTGTACATAATGTGGGCAGATGACCTATTATTATTTTTAATTATTATGACCTATAAATTTGGTTGCAATAACATAACGTTTTTCTAAAAAAAAATCAAGTGCTTTTTTTTTGAAATTGATGTTTTGACTAATAATTAAATCATGGAAACAGGTCAAATTCAGGGAAATAAGACATGACATACGCGTCCTCAGCAGTGCTGAAAACGCATTGCACCTGCATAGTGCTGAGTCAGCACTATGCAGGTGCAATCGCATTGTGACCTAAACTCAAGGGTCCCCTCAGTGTTAAAAAAATACTAGTACTAGAAGCT